CTAGTTAGGTGGTAGAACAGTCAGACTGTACTGATTTACTGGGTATTGAGCAGGAGAACGGAAAGGAAAAAGATAGAGGGGTGTAAGAGGCTGTCCATGTTTCTGATATAGACAACTGAGTTGATAGAATAAAATTCACTGAACTAGAGAAGGTGGGAGCAGGGCTGGATTAAGAACAGGGAAAACCAAGGAAAAATTCAAAATTGAAAAATTTAAGATTAAGATTATTGGGAGATATTCAACTGGAGATGTCCTGGAGGCAGCTGACTCTAGACCTATTTATTGGATTCATACTTAGCTTGCATCTGTGCTAGGTACAAGCCAGCTATGTGGAAAAAAGATGAAGAGAGAATCTGTGGTTCTGAGTTATTTTCTAAGAGGAAGCTAAATTATTTTCGCCCGTGAGGTGAACTTGCTGAACTAGTCGCTCCTCAGCAGCTTACAGCCTCTCAGAAAGCCACATCCTGGAGCCTCCAAGAAATCTCATTGTCTGAAGGCAACCATTTTTCAGTCTGACTCTGGGGGTGCGTGTTTGCCATTCAGAACCTACTATATTTTACTGCACCTCCTGACATTGTTACACAACATTTATTGAAAGCACATTTGATGGTAATGAAGTTTCTATTAACTATGATTAAATCTCATAAAGCACCTGAAGATAATTTAAGATGTGCAGAAGCAGAAAATGAAACATTCAGTTTAGTACATTAGGCAACGTAATTGATTAAATTATCTCATTTACAATAAGTGCTTTCATGAGCTATGCACTGCACATATCTCCCCCAGTTTGTCATTATGATTTGCCAGCAGATATCTGAAGACTTCACTTTCTTTTTACACCTCCCGGCAACTCAGAGCTGGCTCCTTGGCCTGCCTGCTCACTGAGGATGGTGTGCAAGGCTCCGAGTGATGTTTTCTATCCGTCAGGCCTCACAGAGGATCATGTGCACAGCTATATATAGGAACAGGTTGTTTCTCAATTATCTTCATAATTGACTTTGATTTTGCATCAGTGATGATTCATGTAGTCTTAAACTAAGCCCCTCTTTCGCTGAACAACTGCAGCCTGAGTTTGTAGAATGGCTCCTAACCATGCAGCTTACAGAGCCCCGATTGGATTCCTCTGGGAGCCTTTTGCAATCACATTGATTTTGTTAAGGTTTTATTTTTAGGAAATGACAAATTAAAACTGTTTAAGTGATTCAGTGGCAGTATCCAGCAATTAAGCATGGTGTTCAGGAGCAAGAACCCCAAACATAAACTAATTCAGGAGTCCCTGAGGACTAGAAATAGCAACTGTGGGGTTTATGGCTGGAAGTACAGATGTAACCAAATTAGAATGGCACAGGACTCACAAACTAAGCATGAAATTAATTTAAAGAAAAACACACATGCACTTCTAAATAACTCTCACGTTGGTCATCACATGGATACCCATGATCTCGCTTGTGCTACATCAGAACCAGCAGACGGCATGGGCTCTGTGACCAGGAGGCAGCTGGGGGCTCACTTACTCCAGCTGTCACCCTGCGGCTTTGACACAGGCACAAGCCAAATATTCACTGACTTGTTTTTTTCCTCCATCCCTCAACATGCACATATACAGACACACACACACACACACACACACACACACACACACACACACACACACACAGAAACACACACACACAACCAGGTTTTCCCACTTCCAATCTTCCTATGAGTTCAAAATCAAGCATGCAGGATGACAGAGGGCCACTACCTAAGTACCAATAATTACTTTAGGGGAAGCAGACAGCATGGAAAAGAGGAAAGTTTGTTTTTGTTGTTCTGCAAAGTTCTCAGAACTCCGTAAGTAATGACATCTTTATATCTCAAGCCTGCCTGAAGCAACATAATGAAGTATGAACATAATAGCTTTACCAGATCTTTCTCTTGTGTCTCCTCACCCCTGTCCCAAGGTACCTATTTCTGTCTATCTTCACAGGGCCTTAATTCTTTCAAAGAAGGTGGCTAATAAAAGCTATTAACTTTCCCAAGCTATTTGAATTTGAATATCCTAGGATTTAAAAGATCAAAAGCCTCTCCTTTCTGTACTAAAATGGGAGACGCTGACCAGGGATACCTGCCACAAGCTTTATAGACCGACCAAACCTGCCCAGAGGTTGCTTCTCTCTCCTGTTGCTAAGAGCTGTATTGTTGATACTCTTTGATCTCAGGGTTTCCCTAGTATGCTTCACATATTTCTGGGTGCTTGAGAACCATTTGGGGAACATATTACAATGTGCCCGCTCACCCCTGTCCTGAGGACTCTAACTCAATTGTTCTGCATTGAGGTTGGGCATATTTACAAGCTCTCACCACACCCAAAGATTCTGATGCACGTGTTGCTGATCCACTTTTGGAGAAATATTTTTCTAAGACAGTGATTCTCAAGCCCAGCTGCACACTGGAATCACCTGAGGAACTTTTACAACTAGGAATTCCTGGGTTCGAATGCCACCCCCCCTTTATGATTTCATTGGTTTGGGGTACAGCCTGGGAATAGGGGTTTTTAAAAGCCCCAGGTGGTCCTCAAGTTCAGCCAAGGCTGAGAACCATAGAGTCAAATACTGAGCTGCCAACCATTCCATCTCTGTTCCTTTTCCCCAAATCTACCGGATGTATAAAATGGAGATAATGCAAAGGCCTGGCCAGGAAGCAAGCCTGTGTTTAGAGAGTTCAAGGTGGCGCACCCTCACAATTTTTCAGTTCCTGATAATTTCACTGTGGAGTGCTGGTTCCTAATTCACCCAGTTACCATGGATTTCACAGTTTGCCTCTCAGGCACCCCCTCCTTCTAGGTGGAGAGGTGTGTAACCAGGCTTTTGTCCAAGGTTGCTGTCATAAAAGCGTGTACTGACCAATATTTATTAATTTTCATGCTGTAAGTCTCCTCAGAAATAAGAATCCTAGATGACATTTGCAGAGAAATGGACTTATAGGCAGGCAGAATCAAGACGAGAGATTTACTTTTATTCTGCAGTAGGGGAGGGGTGTGCATATTTCTTTCTGATTTAAACCTCTGATATGTGACTCCAAACCCAATGAGCAGAAGCCCCGAAAGCCCTGGATATTTCGTACAAACTTCAATTCTCTTTGGCTCCTAAAGAAATACAACAGTACGGCAGCAAATATGAGAATAAATTATATTCACAAGAGGAAAAATAACTTACTTTGGGGTTTTATTTCATGAAGAGGTTTTTTATCTAAAAGAAAGAAAGAGAAAAAAGTTGCATTTAATAAATTTACATGGAGCAGATATATTTCCTATATCACTTTATGTCTACCTCTATAAATGAAGCATTTTCTCTATTTTTGCAGACACTATGGATTAAGATATCTGTATTTTTCCTTTTCATTCTAATTTTTTTATTTTTCTCTTTGGCAATATTTGTCTAGGATGATTGCTTCATCCATTTTGTTTTTTTTTTTTTTTTAATTTTCCCTCAGGCTTAATAGTTTCTCTCTGTTGCATTTGCTAGATTTTTATCAGCATGATGACAGCAGTGAGCTTGCAGCCTGTCCCTTTTTATAAACAGCCAGAAGACTGCTCAGGTAAGGGACGCTGTTTCACTATATATAATAGAAAAATGAACTAGTGAATAAATATTGAAAGGGATCCTACATTGGTCTGTAGTTATCATGGCCTGAATGAAAGTTCCAAACTATGTGGTTTATTCATTTTCGTTCAGTCGGCATGCGGTATTGTGAGCATGTTGGAGGTTTGTTTTTTTAAGACATCACACTATGTTGTTTTAGATATCTATTATCTGTAAAGATGTGTACGATCTCTCTTAATGGAAAAAGTGTCATTTTAGTAATCATGGTATTAGGCAGCGCAGCAGTCAGATGAGAAGGATAGAGAAAACATTCAGCCTTTTACTTAAGCAGGGCCAAAGGAGCCCGAGTTCAGGTGAGATATTTTTATGAATTCTTCCCCTCGTCCTCTATTCATGCTGTCCTGCCCCATCTCTTATCACCAAATAATCTTGCAATCATCTTGTAAATCATTTTGAGACTTGGCGCTTGGGGCTTACTTTGTTTTATACCACAGCCCCTTCACAGGCCCCCCGACAGCAACACAACACTGCAATGCAGAGACCTGGGAAGCCTATACTTCACACAGCAGGTCAAGGGTCCAGAGATCTGCATGGTGAGTCATCCCTCATATTATTATATTAGTCTCTCCCAGGGCTCAGGCAGAACACTGTCAGGCTACAGGCACTGGGGCTGCTGCTAGTTGGTCACAGAATCACACTAGGGTGGAGGACCTTGAAAGGTCACCTGGTGCAGTCAGTCCCCTTCCCCCATTTGCCTGAAGGTGAGCCAAGTGGAGTGACGCACTGTCATTTTGGATTTTTCAACTGAATCAAATCTAGTATAGTCCACATTCGAGAATTTCATAAATATTATCTGACTGACTGCACTGTAACCCCTCCCAGGCAGACAGATGCAGCTGTATTCCGAATCCTCCACGGAGTATCTCTTACCCTAACCCACTCCTGCACTTAATACTGCTTTTGACAGAAAACTTAGTGCGATTTAAGTATCACTCTTGTATGTTTTGCCATCTGATTTGTTAAGGGAGTAGCTGTTAAAAATTGTATGTAAATCACACTTTTGCAAATGGGCCACCTTTGTTTTTTCAATATAAGGGAAAAGTTAATTGGCAAAGGGTAATTTCTGACAAACCTTTCTTTAAATGAAAAATCCTCATAAAAGATAATTTGTTCGAATTGGTATGATCATATTCAGATTTTCATGCAGTCAGGTTTTTACAACAGACAACACTTGCATTCCGCTTCCTGTAGATTTAATGCCGCTAGTTTTCCTGAGAGCCAGGGATGCCGCCCAAAGTCCAGATGCTAATGCACTCAAAACTTAGAACAAACCCTCTTGGGTGGTTTGAATTTAACTTGCGTTTTTGCTTATTGCATGCTATCTGGCAGCATTTGGCATGGGCGTAGCGATGCGGGCAGGCCAAGGCTAAGCCATCTGAAAGTGATGCATTGCTAGGACTACACAGAGAGACACAGAGAATGTCTGTTTAGTGCCCTGGCGGAGCCTAACTATTTTCTTCCTCCTAAACCGCAGGAACGAAGATTATGCCGGGAAGCAAAATGAAACTCCATTAAAAACAGGTGAGATATACAACTACTCCCCAGAAAAATAAATCGAATACAGCCAGGCTGTGAAAAAATTGGGTTGGTAGCATTCTACTGGGTAAGCACTGAAGGAAGAAAGAGAGAATGGGGATAACAAGCCCGGGCTATGGTACCAACACAGAGCTCGGACCACAAGGGCACATGAAACAGGAGTGGGGCATTGCCCCTCTGACCCAGTTCTGGTGTCATCATCATTGGCAGTGTGATGTGGTGGGATTAGTGCAGACTTTCAGGGTTAAACTGATTTAAATGATTTAAATCTTGACTTGTCTGTATTCTATTTGTGTTCTCCACAGTAAAATGGGAATGCTAATGTCCTTGAAGGTTGGTTCTGGGGATTACACAGGGTGAATGTGAAGTATGAAGCGCCGGGCTGACACATGTTCAGCACCAATACACGATAGCTAATAACCCAAGTTATGACTTCAACGTGTTATGAACAGGATCAGCAGCATCATTTGTTCAGAGTTAAAAAAAAAAAAGAAGAGAGAGAGAGAGAGAGAGAGAGAGAAAAGAAAAAAGGAAAAATGATTCTTGGAGATGAATCACAACCCCAGGTCAGAAACTCTTGTGAATTTCAGAGGTGCTTTAAAGGGAGTTAAGACACTTTGTCTAGTCCTGGCCTCTGCTTTAGGAGACCGAGGGCTAAAACTTCAGTTTCCTAATATGGGGAAAGAAGGACAGGGACCAGAACACCCCTGTGGGCTCCCTAGTTTTCACCAACTGTGAATCAGAATGACAACAAATGACATTCCATGTGAAATCCATTTGAAATGATTTCCTAAAGCAGAGTAAGAATTATTCAAAAGGCTGCTGCTCCACCATGACATCTGTTATGCTAAGGTCTAGCCTATCTTGTGTGTACATGTGCATCCTCTCACAGAAAAGGCTGGAAGCCTCTGGCGCCCAAGAGATCTTTAGTCCCTTGGTATCAGTATCAAAACTGGGTCCTGCTGTATTCTGTGAAATACCAGTATCATGTCAGCAAGCTGCTATCACAGAGCATTTTCCCAGCTTGAAATTTCTGATCAGAGACTGTTCTACCATGAGTTGCGTGAGAGAGGGCTACCCACTGACCTCACCATCTTTTGCAAAAGAACTGCCCACCCCATGAGCTCCATGTTCTTTTATTCTGTTTGCATAATCATTTCCTCACAAGGCTCAGGGCCATGCATCCACTTGGCCTTGGTCAACCAAATCCTCTCTGCTTTAATTTTATCTCTCTCCAAGGCCATGTTCAAACGACCCTTCAGTAAATTAATCCATTAGGGCCATGGTTCTTAATGTTGGCTGTGCATTAGAATCACCTGGGGAGCTTTTAAAAAAAATACCCATGCCTGGGCCCCACTCCAAGAGGTCCTGATTAATTGCAGTTTGTGTTTTTGCAATTACTGAAGGCACCGCCACTTCCTGTGAACAAATTTGGGACTCGGTGTACTGAGCTTCAGTGAGGCTTTGGGGCAGCCATAGAATCCAGATGGGCCTAGAAGTATCCCTTTTGTATCCTGCAGGCAGAGAAATATAGTTTTGAGCCAGGGGCAGCTGAGTGAGTTGCAGATTTTGAAAATCCAGCTTCCTAAGGTCTAATATACACTGAGGTACCTTCTGGGTAAATGGAAATTGATAATGAGTAATTAAAATTCACTCTAATTACTTGTATAGTTATAAGCAAATGATGCAGAAGCATTATTTTTAAAATTTTAATAGTGTTTTAAATTGTCATACATTCTTTAAGCTACATACACAAGTCTAACCTTTCCTCCATATGATTGCATATATGTATAAGATTATATGCACAAATTTAAGCTTATACATATATATTAGCAGGAACTACATGATATTGACACTAGTTGATCATTTTTACCTAAAAAATCCATGGAAATGTCTTTTATATATTACTCTTCAATCTGCTTTTGTCTTAGTACTGTAATACAAATATTGCTTTGCACGTGTGTGTGTGTGTGTGTGTGTGTGTGTGTGTGTGTGTGTATAATACATTTATGTATGGGGGTGGAAAGAAAGAGACAGGACAATCTACCTTTTTAAATTTTGAGGGTGATTCATTTCTTTTCCACCTTTCTTTAATGTATTGCTTTCTTTGTTATATGGGAGGTTCCCAAAGCATTTCCATGGTATCCATTGTTCTTAGGAGCTATTTATTATCACACCCCTAGTTCCAAACCACCTACCGACACCCAGCCTTACCCTTTTTCTGCCAGAGAACAAATGTGGCCAACTGTGTGCGACCCACATCCTAGCGCTCTAAGAGAGCAGGCCTGAGGACACATAGCACATGTCAATAGATGGGTTCAATCTCCAGTCTAGAGACTGGGCAAGGCACTGCTCCCCATAACCTGTGGGTCGTGATTATGTGAAATCGACGCCTATGCGTTTTGACCACTACACAGATAAAGTTGATACCAGAGTTTATATTGTTTTTTTAAGATTCAAACATAGAGCCCCTCAGTGTGGACTAATTACCCACAAGACAATAAGCCAAGGCAGCTACTCCCCTCCCAGGCAGCAATTCACATATGTATAGTTAATGATTACTACTTTTTTATTTCAATGAACCAGTCATCACGCCCCATGTTTTCATTTTTATTATTTCCTTCTTCATGGATAGTCTTTTTGAAACTTTTCTTCTCCCCCTGCCCACTTCCCCACCCTAAATTGTATGGTGACTGTCTGTAATTGACCCTCCATAGTATTTGCAAGGTGATTCTGAAGTCTGTGGTATAGTCAATCTTTTCTGCCCATTCTCTGGCTGTTTACTTAACTCACTGGGATCATTCTCTAGTATCACACACAGGAATCTACCATGATTCCACATGCCTCCAAGTCACAGCCAGCAGCTCTGCCTACCTTTAAGGTCTTCTATTAACGTATCCCACCACAGCAAATATGATTTAGTTTCCACAGCCCTTCAACACAAAGCCAGGCTCTAGTCCACTCAATCCATTAACTACAAGTCTTGGTCTGACTTATTTCCTTAGCATAATACCCTCTAGGTCCATTCATGTTGTCTCAAATGGCAAGGTTTCATTATTTTTTATGGCTGAGTAATATTCCATTGTACGTATATACCATATCTTCTTTATCTATTCATCTATCGATTGACACATAGGTAGCTTCCATATCATGGCTATTGTAAATAACGCTACAATGAAAAGAGGGGTACAAATATCTTTTCAAATTAGTGTTTTTGATTTCTTCAGATAAATACCCAGAAGTGCAATTGCTGGATCATATGGTAGTTCTGTTTTTAATATTTTGAATAACTTCCATACTGTGTTCCATAGTGCCTGTACCAATGTACTACCTCATCAACAGTGCACCTCTTTTCTACACATCTTGGCGAACACTGGTTATTTTTTTATTTCTTGATGGTAGCCATTCTGAGAGGTATGAGGTGACTATCTCACTGTGGTTTTTAATTTGCATTTTCCTGATGATCAGTGATGTTGAGCATTTTTCATGTGTCAATTGTTCTTCTGTATGTCTTCTTTGGAGAAATGTCTATTCAGGTCCTCTGTCCATTTTTTAATCAGATTGTTTGCTTTTTTTTGTTGAATTTATATTAGTTCCTTATATGTTTTAAATATTAACCTTTATCAGATGTATCATTGGTGAATATCTTTTCCCATTCAGTATGTTGTCTTTGTTTTGTGAATGGCTTCCTTCACTGTGAAAAACATTTTAGTTTGATGTAGTTTCAGTTGTTTACTTTTTCTTTTGTTTCCCTTACCTGAAGAGATATATTAGAAAAAAATATTACTAGGGGCAATATCAGAGAATTTACTGCCTACGTTTTCTTCTAGGAGATTTATGGTTTTGGGTCTTACATGTAAGTCTTTAATTCATCTTGAGTTTATTCTTGTATAATGTAAAAAAAGTGGTCCAGTTTCATTCTTTTGCATGAATCTGTCCAGTTTTCGCAACACTATTTATTGAATAGGCTGTCTTTATCCCATTGTATATTCTTGCCTCCTTTGTAATAGATTAGTTGACGACATAGGCATATTTATGTTTATTTCTGGACTCTATTCTAGTCCATTCATCTATGTGTTTTTATGCCAGTGCCAAGCTCTTTTCGTTACTATAGTCTTGTAGCATAATTTCATATCAGGTAGCCTGATACTTCCAACTTTGCTCTTTTTCTCAAGATTGCTTTGGCGATTGGGATCTTTTCTTGGTCTTACATACATTTTAGGATTATTTGTTCTAGTTCTGTGAAAAATGCCACTGGTATTTTGATAGGGATTGCTGTGAATGTGTAAATTGCTTTGGATAGTATGGACATTTTAATAATGTTAATTCTTTCTGTCCATGAGTACTGAATATCCTTCCATTTATATGTACCTTCTACAGTTCTTTCTTCAATATATTATGGTTTTCTGAGTAAAGGTTTTTTTGCCTCTTTGGTTAATTTTATTCCTAGGTATTTTGTTCTTTTTGATATAACGTAAATTGGGTTGTGTTCTGAATTTCTCTTTCTGATAGTTTGTAATTGGTATAGAAAAATGAAACTGGTTTCTGAATAATAATTTTGAGACCTATATTACTGAATTCATTTATTAGTTCTGACAGTTTTTTGGTGAGATCTTTAGGGTTCTCTCTCTATAAAATCATGTAATCTGCAAATAATGACAATTTTACTTCATCTCTTCCAATTTGGAATTTTTTTAATGTATTTATTTCTTGTCTGATTGTTGTGGTTAGGACTTCATAGTAATTTGAACAAAAGTAGTGAAAGTAGGCATCCTTGTCTTGTTTCTAATCTTAAAGAAAAAAGCTTTCAGCTTTTCACCATTGAGTATAATGTTAACTGTGGGTTTGTCATATACAGTCTTCAGTTATCGGTCTGTTCATTTTGTTTCTTTCTGACTCAGCGCTGGAAGACTGTGTTTGTCTAGGAATTTATCCATTTCTTCCAGGTTGTCCAATTTGTTGGTATATCATTTTTCATAGCACTG